GTATCCTGTATCCAGTATCCTGTATCCTGTATCATGTACCCTGTATCATGTATCCAGTATCCAGTATCATGCACCTAGTATCATGTACCCAGTATTTAGTTTGTATATATGTATGAAGCCAATTTTTTACAGATTGATTCTTGCTGAAGAAGTTTAAACCCTCATACATGAACTGAATACAAAAGACAATGAATGAAAAATTGAATTTTAATGTTTTTTTTTCAAAAATCGGATTTTTTCGAAAATTGTGCTGATTGTACAGATTTTTTAAAAAATGTACGGATCTTTAAAAAAATGTACGGATTGGTTTAAAAAAATGTACGGATTTACGGATTTTTAAAAAAAAAATTGTACGGATTGTACGGATTGTTTTTCGAAAATTGTACGGATTGTACGGATTTCTTCTGAAAATGTACGGATTTTTGTACGGATGGGGTCAAAAAAGTTTTGGCCACCCTGAATATTTTAAGGCAATTTTTTTTAATTTCAAGCATCCATAAACCTTCCCTCAGGTCATGTGAGGTCCTACAAAATTGAGCCCGATCGATTCAGCCAGTTTGGGGTTCATCGGTTACAAGTTATGAATAGATTTATACTTAGAGGTGTACTGCATGAACGATGTCCTTTCCCAGAGTTATCTCATCTATGTACAACTAGCTATCTTGCTACCTTAGCTAAGGTGAGATTTATCAGAAAACGGTGATCATTGTTTTAAATACAGGATGTCCGAAAAAAACGATCTTCTAGGTACCAAAGTTCTCGTGTTTGTTCGATTTTCAAACATGAAATTTTCGTGATTTAAGATTTCTTTCAATGCATGGATGACTATATTTGAATTTGTTTATTCATCTGTTTTAGGATTATGATAACAGTTCTTTGTGTCTTCAATGCGAAGATGATCTTCATTGGAGGAAAGAAACAAAGTGTTATTTTTTCTGGATATGTTATTTTGGATGGTTTACTACGCTCAATTATATCGTGTGGGCCTTTGCAAAATGTTATTTCAAGTTTTTTTTCAACACAGAAAGTTTTTATCTGTGTGTAAAACGGGAAGAAAGTAAAGGAAATTTTTATTGATTTTAATAATAGAAAATTAAATATCTAGATGTTATTAAATAAACCTTTTTGTGAATTTTGGTTTCCGTTGTTTTTTCTCCAAAAAAACTTGTTTATGTCTTTAGAAACCTTTGTTTGTTTTATTTAGACAGTTAAAAGATGGCATTTAGTTCTCAACGATTTTTAGCCATAAGTCATGATTTTTGTTTATGATGAGGTAAAAATGACTAAGTCCGGACACTAAACTTTGTTTGAAATATCAGATGTAACGATGGATGGTGTATTCTCAAGAATTTAACCAACAATGGTTTACCAGACTGTAGGGATGGTAGTGATGAGTCAAGTAAGTTAGTTATGCTTATCCACTTATTAAAATAGCTGTAAATTATAGCACAGTGATTTAAAGTTTATTTGGTTCCTGGATTTTCTCAAAAAAAATAGGATATTTTTAGAGAGAAAAAATCTATTTAAATGAAATTTAAATCGAATTTACTATTATTTTTTTCTCTTTCTGCTTTGTAAAATGGCTCATTATATCTAGAAATAACCATGGCATCAAGACAAGTGCATCTCATAAAATTATCTACAACAAATTATTTTGCCACGACGTGATAAAGTCTTGTTTTTTTATAGTTTAATTTTGTCCCTCGCTAAAGCTCAGGAAATATAACAATCTAAGAAGGATGGAACCTTCTGTTTAAGAGAAAAATTATGAAAACTGTATAGAACTGTAATCAAAATAATAATGTCATAAATAGTTATTGTGGTTTAGATTATTATCCCTTGTAGGTTTACCCTACGCCTGGTGGGTTGTATTGGTCACCACTATCATAATTGTCTCCCTTGGTCTTGTACTTTCCTTTTCCTGCCGCCAGATGGGAGTCAAGAACTGCAGAAACTGCTTCCACTGCTCATTCTGCTCATCAGATAGGTAAATATCATTGGTTGGTTGGTTCGTTTGTTGGTTGGTTGGTTAGTTGGATGGTTAAATTGGTGCGTTGGTTGATTGATTAATTGATTGAATAATTCATACTTATGTAATTGGTGTGTTAAATTCATATTTATTCAGAGCTGGAAACTTTAGAATCCCTAATCCCGATTACTTAATCTGAGTATCCAATGGATACCCTTTTGACATCCTTCTTAAACCGTTCTTTCTTGGATATAGAAGAGAAAAATCAAAAACCGGTTTTTAAAATTAGAGAGTTCCTCCCGTTTCTGTATATTCATCTTAAATGGTGCGCAAAATTTCAAATTTATACGCGGCTCTGATTGGTTGAATTTTATACACTTTTTAGGATACAAGTACAAGATTAGGTTAGTCTCGAAATTAAGAAAAAGAGAGGATCGAGCATTAATCTTGATATCCACCATTCTAAAGTTTTCAGCTCAGATGACATCTTGAATCATGATTGATTGATTAATTTTGAAAACAAAATTTATAAGAATTTTAAATTAAAGCAATTTGATTAATTGGCTGATTGATTGATTACTTCGCTAATTAAATGTTATATACATTATTTTAATTTATGTATTTGTCTATAAACAGAGTTTCCAAGGCTAACATTCCGTTGCGCTAATTGTAATTGCACAAAGAAAACCGCAAAGTTTAATGGCGCAATAGCAGAATCGCGCTAATTGCACGCAATGCTTCTAAATTAATAAATGATACAATTGATTAAATTAATTTTACAGTTGGTTAATTAATTAATTCATTTTAGCAGCTAATTAATGGCTTGGTCAAACAGGATTAATGGACTAATTTAATCTTTGATGAGTTGATCAATCTAGTGCTTAATTTATTAATTAATTAATTAATTAATTAATTAATTAATTAATTAATTAATTGGTTGACTTCATCTTTGAATTTTAAGCTGTTTAGATTTATTAATTGGTTGATTGATTAATGTATAGAAGAATACGTCTGCGTACTTTGTAATGTTCTAGAAATTGATTTATCAAATGTTTAGTTATTCTTGTCACATAATAATTGATTGATTGATTGGTATATTGTTGCTTGATTGCCTTTGTAAATGAATTTGTTAAGAACTGCTGAGTATAGTGTGTGTATGGAACTAAAGCCCTCTGCTCCTCCACTAAAAAGCACTGGTGACACTACATCTATAGATGGACCGGAAAAAATAGGTACAACAAATCATAGTTTTGATGAGAAATCAACTTCTGGCCAGAAAATATTCATATTCATTAAAGTCTGCTTTGGTTTGGTTTAGAATCGAAGAGATGTGATGCGATTCGTTTTTTTTCTAGTCGACTTAAACCCGTGCATCATGCATATGGTATCATTTCATATTAATATATAAAAATTAGATGTATCTAATGTATTTTTAAGGTGCGTGCATAGAAATAAATTTTAACCAACCAATCAATCTATTGATCAAGAACTAAATTATTTAAGTTCATCACTTTAAGTTTTGTCAAAAAGTTTTTGTTATGATTTTTTTCTTTTAGATATTGATGAGGAATACGATGACGATGATGATGAGGACAAGCTTGATCCTGATTGTGAGAATCTAGTGCTGGAGCAAGATCTACCTGTTGATCTGATTAGACTAATTGAGGACAAAAATAGGTAGAAATCTGATTTAGAACTAACCTTTTTTATCGTTTAATAATTTAAGTAGGCACACGGAAGACTTAAGTTTAAGTCATTCCAATGATTGTCTCTCAAACAAAAGACTCTTGGATCAGGATCCAAGATCCAAGATCCGGATAAATATTTTCTTATCTATCAAATGTTCATCAAGTTTAATTAAAAAAAAAAGCGAAAAAAGAAAAAGATAAATCCAAATTTTTTCTTCTGTTAAAAAATTCGTTAAATCGTTAATAAAATTAGAATGACAAATTGAAGTCCAAGGTTTTAAAGTAAAATGTACTTTACACCGTATCCTAAGCAAAAACTTCTATATTAAATAACTAAAGCTAGATTTTCCACAATGTAATACTTGAGGCATTTTAGCTCCAGGCATTTATGCATTTATGCCCTTGTTCATAATTTTTGCTGATTTTTAAAGTTTTTTTTCTCTCGTTTTTCTTTCATAGGATATATAATCATCAAGTTCGCTATCTTAGCTAAAAATATAAAGGGCGACCAAGCCACTTTGTAAATTTATAAATCCATAATTTTTGCTGATTTCTCAAAAGTTTTATCTGTCGTTCTCATTTATGGAATATCTAATCATCATGTTTGTTTTCTTGTCCGAAAATATATAGGGCGAGCAATTAATTTTATAAATTTATAAATTTCTGTTTGTTTTGCTGTTTAATTAAGTATTTGAGAAGAAGTAATACTAGAGGCATGAAATAGTTTAGAAATATTAATAATAACGATGAGTTCAGTGGGGGAATTATAATCATGAATGGCGTTTCCAAATTTCCTAAATTTAATGTTATTGTAAACCAAATATTTGAGAGGAGATTACTAATTTCAGATGTTGGGATTATAAGACAAGAGACCCATGTATGGCACAAATTCTGGGAAGTTCCTATTCACCTACTACTGTTAAGGTATTTCAGATTGCAGAGAACTGTATCTAGATTATCTGGATTTACAATTATATAATTTGTTGCGGCAAACTCCATTGCGCCAAGTCGTCTTTGATCTGTAATCACTCAATTAATACAGAGTGAGTATATGCTGGAGGTGAAGAAGCAGTACATATATGCACACACCGATCCTCTACACATACATCACCTATACTCATTCCTAGTCAATAGGTAGGTATGGGACTAGGGGTATATTCTCCTACATGATATAAACAAACAAAATAAGATTTAGGTCCCAAAAGTGTCAGAGAAAATAACTGTGTAAATGATTTCTGTTTTTTTTCTCAAAGAATGCTTTGAAAGCTAAAGACTTAGAAATACAAAAAAGGATATAGGGCCAACAGGATTCTCATTCATTTTCTAAATTTCTTCACATTTTTTTAGTTAATGTTAAAGTTGACTTTTACTAGTCTTAACCAGAAAGAATTAATTGACAGTTAATTAGACGACTTTACATATATATATCTCTGGTAATTTTAAATTCACAATAAAGGCAGATTTTAGAATTGGCAGGACTATGACTTTTTTTATAATCGCTTCATTAATCATACTTTTTAAATTAGATTGTAAAGGTGTCTGATTAATTATAAACTTATTCCGGGTCTTTCTGATTATAAATGATGTACAAAACCTTCTTTGGTTTCAGTTTAATCCTCTAAAACTATTTTGTGTATTTGAATGATTAAAAAAGAAATGTTTAACAGGTATCCCAGTATTTCTGAACTGGCTAAAATAATAAATATTTTAATGGACTTGGAGCGAGAAATTCACTGCATGTCTAAGGTACATAATAAATTATAATTGATTTGACGATTATACAAAATTTGAAATGCAAGGCATTATTAAAAGTTAAAACTGTTGAAATTGTTTTATTATGATGGATTCAAAGATTAATTGTTCTTTTGCGCAGATTTTTGATTTATTGATTGATATTAAAAATCTATTGATATGCATCTCGCACAGATTATTAACATAGTATATTTTTACCATTATCTCAGCAAAAAATGAAGATGAAGGAATTTGTACGATTAGAGCAAATTCGGGGTCATTTGAAATTACGTACACAGTCCCTTTGAATTTAGTTGGAGGTTCTCAAGTGCTGGAGGCTGACCTTAGGCTCTTCAGTAGTAATCGGGAGGTCAGTTTACGCCATTTATTTGTTAACACTATTCCGACCGACCTGATCTGGTTTATACCCAAAATATACGTTTATGGAAAACCTTTGAGCTTTACTTCAATAATCAGTAAAAAAAAACGCATTTAGGCAGCATGCCATGTCTCAGGACTCAGACAGTAGTATATGAAATAGCAGCTCCCCCCCAGCCCCCACACACTAACCCGACCCCCAATTTATTTTTGCCGAGTAAGAAATCTTAAGAACAAACTTAAACAGAAACATGGGCAATTTTCAGAACGGGCCGGGGTACTTAAATTTTGGTTTCAAAGCTTTAGAAATCTGTTTTGAAAAAGATTTACCCTTGACTAATAAAAGTTTATATTTTGATATGATTTAATCTTTACGTTCAAATTTTTAGGGTTATTGAATCTGTATCAGATGAACCAAGTGTTTGCTCGAAACTTTACAATTCGTTTCTACCATTCAGGTTATATTGTCATATATATATATATATGTCATATATTTAATCATCATCATAATCATACATCATACATTATAATTTTATTGTTTATTTTTTTATAGAAATTGTTTGCGAAATATCCGACGAACAATGTTCCGAGCAAAGCCTAACCGAGATGCTGGTTGGTTTCGAACCTTGAAAACAGTTTATTTTACTGTTACTCCTTTCATTGGAGCCAGCCTTCTCTACTTCGAGACTATAAAGGAATACAGTTCATACATCTGTTCAGTCTTATTTTTTTGCCAAAAAAATGTTACAAAGTTTTTTTTCCAGCAGTCATACTATTATTTTCTCTTCTGAGTTTCTTTATTTATGGAACTTGAAACTTAACTTTAAGTGACTCTCTATTATTGAAAAAATGGTGTGTCTGATTCACAATGGCACCGTTACAACTGATCAAGCATTTTTTTTAAAAATGGTTATTTTAAATATTTGGTTCTCCATTAATTGTGAGAATTTAACACATTTCAAGCTAGAAAAGCGACGATATCTTCTACATTATTGATCAAATCAGTTAAAGGTTTAAAGAGTATCATCGTGAATAGGGCATATCCCTCTAAATGAAGTATCACTTGAAATTACAATCACAGTCCCTTTAATCAATGTCTTAATGGAAGTTACACTTATCTTACAGGGTGTCCAGTGTCCACTGTTTTTGAATTAGATATTAATTTTATGGACTATGTACATGATGTACGTACACTTTTTAACTGTTTAACTGTACTGCTTGTTTAGAATATTGTTTATGTAAACATTGTGTACAACGCTCTCTACGATCTCTCAGGAACACAAACTACTGATATAATTTATGTACATTGTACAATGGGCTTTGGAATAAGATGGAGCAAAAAGACGACTTGAAGTCCTCTTCTGGTCGTCGTTTTTTCCCCGGTTTATTTTATTATTTTTCAGCCCCCTCAATAAAATTAACATTTGTAACCAAAAACATGAAACGCGGCAATTGTTTATTTTACTTCACCTAGACCCAATTTAACTGTCAAGTCACTTGTAAACCTATTTTACATTTGCCTTACTACATTTAATCACGTGGTGTTGTGTAGATGGAAACCCAAGAGATTTTCCTTTTGAAATGTTTTTACTACTTTTCATGATTGCTGCCATTGTTACAGGTATTATTTTGATTTGTAATAAATGTAAAAGTCCTAAAGTATATTTAGACACCTTCAAAGAGTTTGTGTTAGTATTTATATGAAACCCTGCCTGAAATTTTCCAAGGTTACTTTATTTTGTAATTTTCTTTTTATTCCTTCCTTCCTTTCAAGGGGAAAATATATTGTAATCAAAAAATATTTAACATTGATTAATATTTTTTTATCAAAAAACATAAGTTTAGAGAAGGATTAAAATGCTTAAATAATCACCCCGAAATTTTCCGCCAGGGTTTTATTTATGTGTTAAGAAAACTCCATGGAATAGTTTTATGATTTTTAAGCTATCATTTTTTTCAGATAATTTATTTAGTCAAATTTAAAAAGAAATATGTTATTGTTGTGCATTTTTTGTTTACATATCAATAATTAGGTCAAAAATATATCTGACCACTGCAGCTAGCAAAGATATATTTGTATAAAGATATTGTTTGGAAATTTTGTTAGGTACACAAAACGATACGTTTTTAATTGCTGAATTTTAAAACTTTCTTTCTATTACTCTTACTATTTACTTTTCGTTAAAAATGTGTCCCTTAAAAAAATGTACAATGTGAAAAGAATGTTTGCTAGCTTGAACATAAATCTCATGAAAAGAGGATGATTCATTTGGTGTACCGTCCAGTTTTGCCGTCTATATAGTCTGTACCTATAAAAACGGCTAGGAACGGAAGTTTTGCCGTCTATATAGTCTGTACCTATAATAACGGCTAGGAACGGAAGTTTTGCCGTCTATATAGTCTGTACCTATAATAACGGCTAGGAACGGAAGTTTTGCCGTCTATATAGTCTGTACCTATAATAACGGCTAGGAACGGAAGTTTTGCTGTCTATATAGTCTGTACCTATAAAAACGGCTAGGAACGGAAGTTTTTATTGTAGTAACAACGTCATATTCGCTTGACATTTAGAGAAAAATAATCTTTTGGTCCGAGAATATGTGTAACAAGGAACTAAATTAAAAAAATGGAGTGTTCGAATCACAAAATTACTCTAAAAACCTTTGCTTAATAAAAAATACACGAACTGTCAACAATTTTCTCTGAATGTTGGTTATTTTAAATTTTTGGTTTAAAAACAGTCGAGGAAATTTTTACATGGAATCACAAGTTAATTATTTATGTTAATGATATATTTATTTTGCAGTACAGTGCCTGAATATTGTGTACAGTGTGTTGTACAGCAATGATATATTTGAGATTTCTCACGCCGACGAGTGCGGGAAAATGAATACTAGAATTTTGTTTAAAGTAAGAATTTGTTATGGATAAAATAAGTTTTTAAATGTTCTTAATTGGGACCCATAAAATTGTGGAAGAGGAAGACGACATTTAGGGATTATATGCGTGTATTTGATGTTGTTGAAAATAGTTTAACCAGTACCTTGGTAATCAACTCTTTAAATAAACTTGTGTGTTTCATATTTATTAAGGGAGTATTTATTACAAAATATTCCACAATTTTTTGGGTCCCACTGTTTATTTAATGAGATCTTTAAAAAGATTAAAGCTGCTTTAAATAAGGGGTTGTGTAATATGTATGATAATTTTCCATAGAAAACTAACATTTTGTTAAAAATATCGATCTAGCGACCGAAAGCACATTAAAATTACCAACATTTTGGTCTGAATTATTAACGAAATGTAAAAGATATCTGACAAGTTTTTTCCACTTACATTCTGTAATTTGAAATAAATCTTATTGTAGAATTGTACTACCGTTATTTTCCACATTTATATAAATTTTTTAATTTTTGTAAAATATTTAATTTCAATTGAGTAAATTAATTTTAATTTTCAGATAGTGGCCTTCCTTCTCTCTCCTCTTATGCCTTGTTTTGTTCTGGCTAACAAGGCATATTATGACGCTAAGTATGAATATAATGGAAATAAAAAAATTGATAAATAGTAGATCTGTAATTCATCTGTTTCCAATTAAGTATATTGAAAGATGATGGGTAGAGAAATGAGACTGCGAGATAATTTATAAAACCATTGTTAAAGGGAGTGTTCGCTGAAAATAAAAGGGGGTATAGGCTTACGGCGAAAAATAATCGCTTTTGATCGCTACTAATCTTACTTCAATCTGTTGCGTCTAAAGGAGAAAATTGTTAAAAACGACATAAACTTAAGAACGTAGCGTCCATACAAATTCAGAAAGTTGCAATATTAGACTCGTATCGTTAAATATGAAATGAAATTTAATTTCAAACAAATCATTCAGATATCACAATCTAAAGTCATTGATTATTTTTTGACGCGTTTGTATCTCCTTGATCCCCCCGACTGGAGAAAGCTTGGTGGGATTAAAGGTCCGGCAGTGGAACAGTTATTGTGACGGTGCTTCCCATACCTGGCGGCGGTCTGAGGGGTCCACATTGGGGTTTCTTACAGATTCCATTTCCTTATGTTCCTTATAAAGTTAATATTTCATAATATTTGTTATTTGTTTTATTACAATGTACTTAAAACGACTTTCGCTAGATATCTCTGCCGCGTGTAATCATTCAAAGCAGCGAGAGCTGAGACATTTGGCGGCCCACTATTTCGGCGTTTAAGTGCATTGTATTCAAAACTAATATTAAATATTAACTAAAAACGAATGCGTCGGAAAATTTGAAATTAAATTGATTTTTTACGATCCGAGTCGTATATTACAACTTTCTGAATTTATATGTACGCTACAATCTTCAGTATAAGTTGTTTTTAACAATTTTCTCCTTGTAGACGCAACAAATAGAAGTAATATTATCTGCGATCAAAGGCGATTATTTTTCGCTGTAAGCATATACCCCCTTTCATTTTTAGCGAACTCTTCCTTTAAGCAATGGTTTATGCCAAAAACTTGATTTTTAAATCACTATACCTTGGCACCCCAATGTCGTAGACTTAACATATTTCAAGCTGTGAAATGTGAATTCTGTTGGATCAAATTATCTAAGTTTGAAATATCAAAGCTTTACACCAACAGAATGAAAAGATATGGGGATTAGAAGATTTGGATGTGTTGACAAACTCAATTTCTGTTGGGGGAATAAAGGATTTATTTGCAAAAAAAAATTTATTAACCCTATGAAAATCATTTTCATGAAAGTGTAAAAAGTAAGAGAATCATGTTAATATAAATATTTTTCTAAGCTATGAAAACCATTTCTGTCTTCCGGCTGTAAAGGAAATAAGGAAATCATGTTAACTTCCAGGTTGGATAATCAGAGGCGACATCTCCAGACCTTTCCGGTCTTCAAGAACCCAGAGGAGGAGAAGGAAGGGGAGGCTGTACCTTTAAAGGAGACGGATATAAACAAGGTACAGTCATAGCGATTCACCTTTATAATCAGTGCGTTTAATTTTATATCACTGGGCTTTTATTTAAATTGTGAACATGTTCTTTTTGTTTACATTTTAAAATAAAAAAAAGAAAAAACTTTTGCGGATTTAAAAAAAAAATTCGCGGATTTTTAAGAAATTAAATTTTTTTACAAAATTAAAAACCTTTAAAACACATTTTTTTAAATATTTATCATTCATAAACCTTCCCTGTGGTCACGTGATGTCCCACAAAAAATTTGGGCCTGATCGGTTCATCCGTTTTGACGTTTATTGGATACAAACAAGCAAACAGACAGACAAGCCAAATTTATATATAGAAGGGATTTAACTGGAGTTGGAATTTTAAGTGACCCTCGATTCCAAGAGGACCATGCCCGATGCACAATGGTACTCTTGAAATTTTTATCTGATCAATGATGTGGAAGATACCGTCGTTCTTTAGGTTTAACTCTTTTCTATTGTTTGCTGTTGCAAGAAATCTGCAAGTCAGGTTAAAGAGGAACCACGTTTGTAAATAATTAATATTAAAAAAAGAAATCTTCGAATTATTATTCATTCTTGATCATTTCAAGCTTTTAACCGTTGTGAATTGGACACGCCATTCTTGAAATTACGTCTACACCAAATAGATTCTAGTACAATAGATGGCAAAGTAGAATTTGTTCACTCTCAGTAAAGCTGTATTCTGACGTCACAAGTGTCAATTCAGTTTTTGTGTCTGACAGATTATTATAAATAGTGATAATTTTAGAATAAAGTGCTTAAATCTTGAAGTAAAATAATTGCAATTTAATGTGTTCTTTTATTTTCTGTTTGTACACTTTTTATTTAATCTTGGAAAACGTGTCAACTATTGTGAGAAAATTTAGTTTTCCTTGTTATATTTGACACTTGTGACGTCATGTATAATTGGTCCATTTCTCTGTTGCCACCTATTGTACACTTGATAATCTATTTGTTCTAAACTTAATAAATATTTTCCTTCGTATATTTTTAAAGTTTAAATAATAACAGTTTAAATGTTTTTCTTTTCATTGTATTTGTAAAACTTTTAAAAATCTAAATTCTTGGAAGTACATTTTTTCAAAGTCTTAAACAAATCAATTTCAATTCGCCATTAAAAAAAATTTAATTTTAGAAAGATAAAGATGAACTTAAAGAGAAGATAAAGATTTACGGAATAATTCGTCAGCTAGAATCGAAATCACTGCTTTACAGGTAAACTTAGAATTGTTAAAAAAAATTAAGATATTTTTACAACCCTGATCTTTTTCATTTGTTACTATGTTTCCCTCGTCTCTCACCCCCCCCCCTCCCCCTCCTCCACTTTTGTTTGCTAAAAATTTAAACCCGTGGCCTTGTCTTTAATAAGAAAAACAAGCAACTTTGTTCTTAGCAGATGGTAAAAAAGATGTCAAACTATCCACTCTCAACTAAAACCTACTATTTCTTCGAAGAGTGTAATGCAGATCACTTCTGACTTTATACCGATAGTTTAATTTAGGGTCGAACATTAACTTCAGGAAAGAGAGAAGTCTGCAAAAATACCTTGTATATTCTAGAAAGATCTACTTAAACTTCCTTGTATATTCTAAAAAGATCCTACTCCTACTACCTTGTATATTCTAGAAAGATCCTACTCCTACTACCTTGTATATTCTAGAAAGATCTACTCCTACTACCTTGTATATTCTAGAAAGATCTACTCCTACTACCGTGTGACTAGCGGAGTTATAGAGTCCGTCACCTTCGTTGTAGTTCTTGTTCTACTTATGTTTGTCACAGGTTAGTTTTCACCATTTGCATTTTGTTTTCCATTTTTTGCCAAATCATTTTTTTTTTTCAAATAAGATAGTTGTCAAGAAAACTTTTTTGTTAACTTATTTTCCTTTAACAGGCACAGAGAGAGAAAAACTAAATGATTTGTTGACAAGAAAATTGGCCATTTCAATTTTCATAATTTGTTCCATATTTGTGTCTTAAATATATATACTTGTTTTTTTTTGCTTGTCTCCAATAAGCGTTATAAGGGCAAAACAAGAGCAGGCTCAAATTTTCTGTGGCAACTCACAGACCCTAGGGTAGGATTATGGACAATTTTGCCCTAAAATAAAAGTCGACATTTACTTCTTTTGAAAATGCGCCAATTATAACAAAAATGTAAAAATGAGATATAAAAAGGCGACTGAAAGAGCAATAGTTCTAACACTTTTGATAGTCAAGTCACGATAATTTGATAAAATCGAATTTTGTTTAGGGCGAAAAGGTCGAGATATAAATCTGATAGTTGGTGTGGAGCACAGGCTTAGAACATTCTTCGGAGTAACATCATACCAGGTATACTTAGGGACTCGCTGAATCACTTACTCATGGACTCATTCACTCACTTACTAACTCACTGGATTAAGCACTCATTCCAAACCTGTTTGTTAAGAATTTCCCTTTTTTGACTGGATTCGATCTGTAATAGATGTTATTTGATTTGTAAATAAGTGGCTAGAAAGATAAATTTTGGATTGTTTAATGTTCAATCTGAAGTAAGTTGGCTTATCTTTGATTTACTGATTGATTGTTTGATTGATCGATTTCTTGATTAGTTGATTGGGCGATGGTTTGGATTTATGATTAATGGTTTATTTGATTGTTTATTTGGTTGTTTATTTGATTGTTTTAATGATTAGTCGGTTGTTTATTTGAGTGACTTATTATTGATTATTTATCTGATTGATTGATTGATTGATTGGTTGGTTGATTTATTAAAAATAAGAATTACTTACTCATTTGATTGTTTAATTGGTTGATTATTTATTTAATTGATTAATTGATTATCTATCTGATTGATTGGTTGATTGATTGTTCAGGGAGGAATTCTAGAGGAACTGAATCTTGTCAGAGACTTTGTCATGGGTAAGTTTAACAATATTTTTTACAGATTTATGTCTATTTCAAAGCAAAAATAAATTAAAATGTATGTTTCTTTTGATTTTAGGTTCCTCCTTAATGTACAGTTTCTTTATGGTATTGTCTGCCCTTGTACGGTACTGGTTCCAGGTACATAGCTTTATTAGTTTCTTTTTAAAAGTAGATATTTGCCCTTATAACGTACTGGTTCCAGGTACTTAGCTTTTTTAGTTTCTGTTGATATTTGCTCTTGTATGGTACTGGTTCCAGGTACATAAATTTATTAGTTTCATTGTACATGTGGATGTCGGTTTTTGTACAGGTACATAGCTTTATTAGTTTCGGTGTACATGTTGATGTTTGCTCTTGTATGGTACTGGTTCAAGGTACATAGATTTATTAGTTTCTTTGTACATGTGGATGTCGATTCTTGTACAGGTACATAGATTTATTAGTTTCTGTGTACATGTGGATGTCGGCTCTAGTACAGGTACATAGCTTTATTAGTTTCTGTGGGCATGTTGATTTTTCTCTGTACAGTACTGGTTCCAGGTACATAGATTTGTTAGTTTCTTTGTACATGTGAATGGCAGCTCTTGTACAGGTACATAGCTTTATTAGTTTTTTGTGTACTTGTTGATGTTTGCTCTTTTATGGTACTGGTTCAAGGTAAATAGCTTAATTAGTTTCTTTGTAATGTCAAGTAACTTTTCAAATAATAAGGAGCATGTCCGATTTACAACAGCACCCTTTAGTTTAGACCTTTATCTGATCAATAATGTGAAAGATATCATCGTTTTTCTAATTTAAAAATTGTTTAGTTTTGACAATTTCCTCCATAGTTTCTGTAGCAGAAATCATAGTTGACGATTACAAATTTTTAACTTTAAATACATTGATATCTCATTCATTCACGATCATTCAAAGCTTTTTCGGTACCTTTGTAAATCAAACATGCAACTTTATAAATAGAGGGTCTCTTGAAATTAAGTGTACAGTCCCTTTATTGATTATTGTTTAGGCTAAGAACCTGTGCCTGAGTGTGGGAGGTAGGATCGTGTTGACCGCCTACCTGTCCGCACTCACCTTCAACAGGTTGACCACATACATCAGCATATTCAGCATCACCCAACCTCTCAAGTTTGACAATGGACATGAGGCAATACTTAGTTATTCAAACTTGATATTTAATAATCACTAGCGGAAATACTTACGTTGCCCTTTAAATCGAATTTCTGATTTTGAAAGAAAGAAAAATCGATTCTTGAAAAACAAAGCAAACCAATATTTTAGCTATACGGGTGCGATACAAAAAATTTGGGCCCGATCGGTTCAGCCGTTTTGACGTTTATTGGATACAAACAGACAGACAGACAGACAAGCCAAATTTATATATAGATGATATATATAGAGCGATTTACAACGATTTTGAATTTTTGAATTTTTAACTGATCAACAATGAAAACATGAACCTTTAAATTGTTCTATACCTTGAAAAGGGTTGATTTTTATATCTCTGTTGCAAATAACACCCTTGCACTTCAATAGAGAAAAAAATTAAAAATTAAAAAATTTTAGATAGAAAGAAGTATTAATATTGTCATTATTTTTGCTGAGACAACATTTAAGGATGCTGTTTTGAATCGGGAAGACCAATTTAGTAATGGATGATGGAAATTGATAATATCTGTTGTGGAAAATATCTGCTGTTGATTAATTAAGTGGGTTGTTTACACCTACCTAATCAGTGTCAAACTAAGAGAGACAAGAAACCATTCATTCTAGAGCTGGAAATTTGTAAATATATTTAATTCCATTAGTTCTAGAGTTGAAAACTTTTTAATAGATTTAACTCCATTAAGTCTAGAATTAGAAACTTTTAAATAGATTTAATTCCATTAATTGTAGAGCCACAAACTTTTAAAAAGATTTAATTCCATTAATTCTAGAGCTGAAAACTTTTCGATAGATTTAATTCCATTTATTATAAAGTTGGAAACTTTTAAATATATTTGATTTCATTCATTCTAGAGCTGGAAACTTTTAAATAGATAAAACGGAACAAACCTCAGTCGTTCCATAGAGGAAGATTAACAAATCGCTTTCTTGAGAAAATTGACCGACCATAGGTTAAGTTAGTTTTAGATTGAGCTCAACTTATTTGCTTTAATTTAAAGTTCCAAGCCATAAAACAGAATTTTTGTTGCTATTGTTAACTATAATTAAGTGTACTGCAGGAGCCTCTTATAAACCTGCCCTGGGCTGTTGTCATTTTTAGCATTCTTATATTAGGTATTATTGTTATAATTTTTTATTATTATTATTATT